AATTGTATTTTGATATTTTAGGACTTTTCGATAAATATTACAATATTTGCGGAGAAAAAAAGAAGCAAAACTTTATCCAGATAACCTAACTGTAATTATCACTCTAGCAATGGAAAGAGTGAGTTTAGAGGTGAGGTTAAGCAAACAGTTGAATATTCTGGTCATCTGACAGCAGTTCTATTCTGTAACAGTATATGTCCACTCCATACAAGATCATCTCAATCCTTTAGGGGTGTGCTTGTCTACCAGGCAGGATGCAAGTGAACTTGTTTATAACGAAATCGTGGCTTTTAGAGCAATGCGGTTCTTATTCAAGAACTCTAGTGAACTCTGTTCTAGAAAATGGCCTCTTCAGTGAAATATTTCTGTATGACAGACATGCGCAGTTAAAACATTCCTCATTTTCATTTGTGTGTTTACAACAGCACCCAATGAAACTTGTTCCTGCTCAAATAGGCTATGTTTAACCCCTTAAATTCTATGGGCCTGTATTAGGGTCCACACTTAAATTCCTCCAATAACTAAATAACTTACAGATACGTTGTCTAGTACAAACCCGTGTCCAAAAAAGTCGGGACAGTGGTACAAGTGGATTAAACACAACAGCTTCCTGTAGGCAGCGTTCTGTGACCACTGATGAAGGACCAGAGGATGAATAACACAAACGGTGCAGCAACGGAGAGCTACAGTCTCTGACTTTACATTTACAAGGTGGAACAACAAGGCAGAAGTGCCTTAACAGAGTGGGCAGTGAGTGGACAGCACTGCTGTGTCTGATCTACTCATGCCAGCACAACACACACTAACACACCACTACCACCACCACCACCACATCAGTATCACTGGTAAAAGGGGGCTAACAAAGTATGCAGAGAAACAGATGGACTACAGTGTGTAATTCTAGAACTACAAAGTGCTCCTATAAGATAAGTGGAGCTGATAAAATGGACAATGAGCGGAGATACAAGGAGGTATTCCTAATGCTGGGTGAGTATATAACAATAAATATTTATAAGAATTCACTCATTCACTGGCATCACTCACATTTAATAATAAGATAGAATAAGTGAGCACTTTTTAAAAAAAATTGGGCTCAAATTATTTCATGCCTACTAAAGGTCCATGGAAAGAGAAGAAACAAATAGCTAGACCACAGCGGACCCCACTGTTTTGGAGTCTTTCATACCTCCTCCAGCTTTAATGCTGGAAACCAAGGGTTGTATACTGAAACATTCCAGCAATAGTCCCCATGGATTTGGGCGGCAAAGACGGCGTCAGCAACCGTGACAACAGCAGCCGCAGCAGAGTCATGGAGAACATCATCCTGACATCTGCCAAAAACTACACACTGTAACGACAAGAAACCATATATTGGCATAAAACACACAACTGGCATCTACGGCATCAGCCGCAAATGACACAAAGGTGCCCTGATACCACCAAGAGCCAGGAATGAATATGTGCTTCTTATTTCTAGCCAATGCATAACTAACACACACACACACACACACACACACACACACACACACACACAAACCACAGAGAACTTACTGTAATAATCTGTCCATACAGCACAAGCCAAACATGCAATCCAGACCCCTTTAAGTGCCTCAAAGTTCTGGTGGTGGGTTCACTCACACACTTGTGAAAAGAGGAGCACAGAACACACACTCACACACACTCACACACACACACACACACACACACACAGACACACTAGTTTCATATTGAGTCATATAGTTCCACATGTATTATATAACGTTGTTGGAACAAAACCTCATATCTCTGAAACAGCAATTATTCAGGATGAGGAAAAAAGAAACAAAGAAAATTCTTTGTTTCTTTTATTCTAAATAATTTTGGGCCATTTCTATTGGTCCATTTATCAGGAAATTTTCACATTGTGTTAAAAGCAGCTGGTATTTTATAATTGTCAAAAATGAAGATAATTTAAATATATAAATAAAAACTGCCCACAATTAATCACATTATTTTGTAGAGTTAGTCATGTTTAATCACATTTGTCAATCACATTTGCTCAATTTTGAATCCAAGAGAAAGATTTTCCCTCATTTAAAGAGCAGCGCGTTTTGTCATGTCATAGCTATATCAGTGGACAAAATGTCACCAGAACGTATTTATTACCTTGAACATTTCAGTAACGTTATTTTCAAAGCAGAGTTCATGTGAACTGAACATGAAAATCAATGTGAATGCACTGCCAACATGAAAATAAGGCTAATGAAGTCTCCAGTTTTCATCACTGTGAGAGCAACAGTAGCTATATCATATATCCAAGCAAAGGTTCCAACTCCTCTGTGATTGTAGCCTCTCGCTCTCACACACCTCATGGATTCTCAATACAGTGGAGGCCCTCATGGGGATCTGAAGCTTTGCACTTTGCAATTGCTTTTGTCAGTTTGCTGCTTGTTGATTTATCCATAGTTCTACCACGAGCACTGTCCAATTGGGCTTCAGGCTGGAACTACAGATGCTTTAAATCGTCAAACTCGGTGTTAAGGAGTTAGTGACATCAGTAATTTAACCCGTTAAATTTAACACAATAATAGTAATACTAATATATCATATATCGTAAGTTATCCTTAACTGTAAGTTTGTTTCTAAGGTTTTTGTCTTTAACATGTAAGAGAACTCACACACACACACACACACACACACGCAGGCCTGGGATGCCTCGAAAACCAGTGAGAGAGAGAAACCACAGGCAGGCTAATAACACTGAGACTCAGTGGTGCATTTCTGAACTGCCGCCAAATAAACGGATGTAAAAAGGGGAGGAATTTTTCCGTTTCTGCCCCCCAACACTCTCCTCACCCCCTTATTCCTAACTCGATACTTATACAGAGCCAGCATTACTAGAGTGCAGAGCTGTCCTAGTACTGGCCTTTCTGGACATTGTGCCTAGTTTGTTTTTAGCACACACACACAACAGAATGACCAGCAGCCACAAACATGACTGACTGCTAACTGATACAGAAGAATGACCTGAATAATAAACTGTGAGGAAATCCCCTCTTACTAAACACATACCCCCCACCCACACACCCACACAAACTCGCCAGAGTTGCAGGAGCAGGAATGCTCCCATCCATACCCTTATTCACTGTAGTTTCAGCTTTAGCCAGTGTGAGGCAGTAAACAATTAGGATACATAAAATTCTATAGATTAGTTGCAGTGCATGAAAAGCCCATCTGGCAGATCGGCAAGTGAACCAGCCCCAGTAGACAAGAATAAATCTCTATAACAACCTGACAGCTGACTACAGACAGGACTAAGGATTTGTCTTAATTTCCAGGTGACTATATAACCTGGATAGACACTATTGTCTGGGGACAAGGTAGTTGTGTTATATTCCAAATACAAGTCAGACAGTGAATCAAATAACCACGCAGTCACAAAGAGGTGGAATTTACTGCTTTTTCCCTGTACACAGCCAATCCTAATCAGGGATGTCCCAATCCTGTTTTGTTTTTTGCCCCCAGTCCTGATCCAAGTTCTTTACTGAGTGTTGATTTATATCTGTGTTTTTGTAGATAATACAGTCACACAAATATGAGTTAATAAAAGCAATCCAATTCAGATAAGCTAGGCTGCCAGTAGGGTTGCTACAGCATCACAGTTTCACAGTTAGTCAGTATACGATTGGATGGTTACGCCACCATTGGCTTTTTCAAAACACAGTTTAAATGCACCTCTGTGTATCCATGTACAAGTGATTGTTCCTTAAACCAGTGGTTAGCCAGTTTTAGCCCTGATCTCCCTCACAACTCATCGTAAAGCAATCTAGAGGCTAGAGCAGGCTTTTTCATATTTTGGCGAGCAAGGGACATGGACTTCTTAGCAGGGCTGGTAGGCTAGCTCTACAGGCTATGTTTGTAGTAAACATGCTGCGTTGCTAATTAGTAATATCACATGCAGGGCTGCCAAACAAATATAAAACATGGCATTATTGATCATTAATAAACCAAAGCTCTTCCTCACTCTGAACAAAGTGACATACACTTTTTACATTCCTTTTAGCCTAGTTCGCTAGTAATCATGTAATGTTTGACATACACAAATCAGCAGTTAGCTGTTTGACTCAAAACTGCATATTGCTGGCCAGCCATCTCAATGAGAGCCTTTTCCTGCTTCTTGCACTTAGTTTATAATGTCAACATGATAACACTGGGCTGGTGTTAAAGGTCATAAAATCATGGTCAAAAATGTGTATACAAAATCTGCGACTCTCCAAAGTGAATACCATGAGAACCACTACCTTAAACAATGTACAGACATCTCAGAGAACATTATATGACTGTGGCTAGTTAAAGACACTAAGACTGCTTGTGCAATGGGAGGGTAATAAAGTGCATGTGCAGCTGGTCAAAGAAAAGAGAAGTGAGAGAGGACCTTTATTGTGAGAAGGGATTAAGATCTGAGGTAAGAAGCTGCAGAGGTGGCGGAGGAGGTCTTCAGGGCTCTAACGTAGTTGTTGTTGATACATTAAACTATGCCTGTTAGGGCTAATGATACTAATCTATCAGCTTCGTTCTGGAAATCCCTAATCCTAATCAGTGCTAATCCTCTACTCATTAAACAGTGTAGCTGTACAGATACCACTGAGGTCATTTTGGCCTGGTTCTCTGAGATGAGAGAAGGAGTAGCGCTGGGTGAGTCAGACAGCAGTCATTGGGCACGGGTGACCTAATGCCTGTCTGCTGAACTTCACTGACGTCAGATCATATCAGCCCTGCTAAAGCAAACAGTACACACTGGGAGGCTACTTCCACATGTCTGAGCGTCAGTATTTCTCTTTCTCACACTCTCACACCCACACACACACACACACACACACACACGCACAAATCCCATTGAGGTCATCATTATCTGAACAGCCTTTCCTTCTTCAGTTTTACTGATCCAGAAGAACTCTGACCTGGAAATACTCCCTGACCTTGGCTTAGCATGTGTATGAAAGGGAGTACAGAGTGTGTACCTGCGAACTATGATCTTCAGAACCCTGTAGGAACCTTTGATGAGGATGAGCGCTTCTTGGCGAGAGCCACAGAGTGCAGAGCCGTTGATGTTGACCAGCTCGTCTCCCACTTTCAACTTCTTACACTGAGCTGCCTTCCCTCCTTCCTCTATCTGAGAGAGAGAGAGAGAGAGAGAGAGAGAGAGAGAGAGAGAGAGAGAGAGAGAGAGAGAGAGAGAGCGCACAACAAAGAAAGTGAGGGAAAGAAAGAAAGAGGGAAAAGAGAAAGGGAAGAGAAAAGAGGAGGCAAAAAAGAGAAAAAGTGAAACAGAAGGAAGAAAGAAAGAAAGAAAGAAAGAAAGAAAGAAAGAAAGAAAGAAAGGACAGAAAAGAAGAAAAAGAGGAAGAAAATCAAAGGAAAAAGGAAGGAGGAGAGAAAAAGAGAGATAAAGAAAAAGAAAAGCAGGAGAAGAAAAGAGAAAAAAGAGAGAAAAAAGAAAAAAAAACGCAGAGGAAGAAATAGAGAAAAGAAAGAGAGGGAAAGTAAAAGAATGAATAAAAGAGAGAGAAAGAGAGAAAAAGAAAAGAACAAAGAAAGAAAGAAAGAGTTAAAAATTAAATGTTAAATTCAGTCAAACACAAACACTCTTTCAGCAGTTTTTGTAAAACGAGCCTAAACAATGTCTAAAGCTCTGCTGTTACATTTAAACATAAAGACTTAAACTCACATCATAAAGCATAAAGAGCAGCATTTCACACACAATATACATCCAATACATACTTTCACACAACTATACACATACAGACAGCGTCAGGCAGTTCATTTCCCTACTTCCTCTAATTGCAGCAGGACAGAAGGGTCAAAGGTCAAATACATACCATATTGTAAACACATACAGTTCACACACACACACACACACACACACACACACACGTCAGTGATATGGCCAGTCTAAACAGCGGCACATAAATCTCATTAACAGCAGCACATAAATCTCACACAAATAAACATTAGCCCTGCCACTGTATATAAATCATACTCCGTCAAGCCCAGAGATCACCATCAGCAGCACAAACATCCCTCATTCCAGCAGACAGGACTGACAGCACCACAAATCAGGCCATCATAGAAGACTCTGCAGCCTAGCAGGTATAAATTAAGGATGAGAAACCTAACAGTACATATTAGATCCTGTAATGTAGAGTCTGGTATTATCAAAAAAGCTGACTGCTGTAATAATATAGCTGGGACCAGGGGTGGGCGATATAGCAGAAATATATTCCAGTAACTCAAGGCATTTTCTTGGTACATAATATGCACCACAATATTTTTTCTTTCTTCACGTACTGCGCTGCACTCAATCTCATTAAACGAGACCATTTACGCTCCCTTTATAATGAAACATGTAGTCGGTCAGTGTTTTTTTAGTAATGACAATATCCACAATATATTCAGTAAAGTGACTTGTGACATAATGGGACATGATAACGATAAATATCGTCACACTGCGCACCCCGTGCCTGAACCCAGCTATTGTGAATTCCATAATGGCATCATAATGACTCGGTTTCACTGTGAAGTACGTGAAGAAAGACCCACCTTGCCACACTTCTCAGATAACCTGCCTTCCTAGTACAGTATAGCTATCTATCAGGCAATGCAGTCAACCAAGGCCTTTGCCACAATAGCCATTCTAGCTCTTGGACTCCACACTGCATCGTACTGAGCTAAATTCCAGAATTGATTTGTTCATCTCACTGCAATCTTGTAAAGTAGACAGAACATAAAAAAACTTCATCTTTACATTTACATATTAGCAGATACTTTTCTCTTGCTTAGTGACACTTATGGGTATATTAGTGATGTGTCTGATCTCTGATCTCTGGGTGATTGAATGTTCTCCTGTGAGCATTCAGAGCATATCATGCACTACACTATCAGACTATTCCAAAGAACTTCTGAAATCTCTGGTCTCACTAGAAAGAAACAGCACTAGCTCATGGATTAAAGGGGACGTTCTGCATACTTGCATGATTAAACAATGTCATTCAGAGTGGTCTGATGTGAAATGGTCTGTTCTCGAGAAACTTACTGAGTCAGAATTGTTCACAGAGGTGGTGATGGGAACCAGATGTCTAAAGAGTTTAATGCTTCTGAAAACTACCTTGCAGAAAGTTCTTACACAAAATTGTTATGAATGTATTACCTGATTCCTGAGACACTGTTTTACAATAGTTTTGAGACAAGATTTTTTTGTAACTTATTTTTTTAAATACACTCATGGTGGAGAGGTACATGCAGGGCATTGTAAGGCATAAAAGTTTCCAAAGACAAGTTTTTTTTCTGATTTACCACTATTTTACCATTATTAACATAAAAACTCGAGATATGTGTAGGTTCACTGGTGGACATCACAACCCCTGGTTCCTATCAAAAACACTAAAGAAATCTGAGTCAGAACGTTTCTCAGTGAACTATTTCATATCAAATCACTCTGAATGACTTTGTTTACATTTCAGAAACTGAACTATGCAGATTTTGAAAAATTCCAAAATTCCACTTTAAGAAAGAAATGTATTTTGCCAGTCAAACAATTGATATGCATTTCAAATATTCAGAATAAAAGAAAAATCTACACTCCGGCTTCTGTGTGTCAATACTATTTTAAACCCAAGAAGTGTTTTCTTTCACCACAATAGAAAAGGCTGCATGCCTTGTTTAGTCATTTCTGGACACCCCCTGAATATTATTGCAAACCAGTGCAGTCTCAGTGAACCCAGCTTCTCCCACAGTGACCTCTCACTAAATAGAACAAGATATTCTAGAAAAGTCAGCACAATGCATCACTCTCTTTTACAAGCCCTCCTCCTCAGTCTTACCTGCTACTGAACACTAACTTCTCTCATCAAACACCTAGTGAATACCAGGCTGCTCACTAAATCAATAGTTCACCCTACCGGTATCAACTGGAGCTGTGCCACAACTCACAAAGTTAGCGAATAGAAAAGGAAGCATGTTGCTAATTAGTCAATCTTACCGAGGCAGCCGAGTTACACAGAGCAGACTGTGAGGATTTGCACACACAGACTGAACATGAAGAGAGGTGGCCAAACTTTAGCCTGTCACAAGTGGACTCAGGTTTGCTGGTGTGTGCGTGTCTGTCAGCATCTCTCTGTGATCACTACCATATGCCTGCAGCTCTCTCACTTCATCCCTCGCTCCATTATTCTTTTGTTCTGTAAAACAGAAACGGCCGGCGGTGGAGAGGTGGAGACATGTAAACACACACACACACATTGGAAAAGTGGCCAATTGTGCTACAATAACACAAACACAGACACACAGATTCCAAAAGTGCCCTTTATTGCTACAGTAATGTACACACACACACACAGGGCCTGTCTCACAAAGCACATTCAACTTCAAACCTAACAAATGGAACCACAGTTAACTAATTTTATGATGGTGCTTAACAACAGCCTTGGGCCAATAATTTCTATTATTGGATTTTGTGATAATTTCAATAAATGCTGAATTATAGTCATATTCATTCATTTACTCATTCTCTTTTACATGCCACAAGACTTCTTTTAGTGTTTTGTTGTTATTTAAATATTCCTTTTTTACAATCATTGTAATCTGCGGTTAGTTAAAAAATGTATACCTTAGAAAAGACTACACTTCATTATAGGCTTTACAAACAGAACATCACAAACAAACTCCCTATACACGTACAGTACTATGGAAAAGTCAGGGACATTTTTTCTATTTCCAGCCAAAACAGTCATTAGGTTATTCATTCTTGTGGAGATATTTTTGAAAATACTTCTAAAGTTTCAATCTTTCAGAAAATCAAGCTCCACTCTTGCTCCAGATCTGAAAAATCCACAGGTGTTTCTGTCCATCCTTCCACTCAGAGAAGACAACTATGAGTCTGAAAGGATGTGGTGCTGTCGAGAAGCCGTTACTGAGAAAAGGAAAATTTGCAAAATCAAACAAAGCTGCTGGTATTCTCAGAACAATGAACTGACCACCCCAGAATCTAGAGCTAAAAAACTGGATTGTGAAAAGCAGAAAATACAACCAAATTCTAAGACTGAACTTAGAAGGTGTAGCAAAAAAAACGCTGCAGATTCCTTTGAAAACATGAAAGCAAGTATTCCAAATGCATGGAAGTTGGAATATCTGTGGAAAGTGTGGATTACCTAAATACTGAAATTATAATTAGTTAATGAGGCTGTTAAATGTTTTTTTTTTTTTCTATTTCTCTTTTCACTGATGAAATGAATAACATTCTGTTTTAATTATAAATTAAATACATAAAAGGATGGTCTCTGACTTTTGCACAGTACTGTACTTATTTTCAGTGCCACTTTTCAGTTTTTCAGTCATGCAAACAATGCTGAGGAATAAGCAAATGAAACAAAAAAAACTCCAGGACATGAGATCTACTCTCAGGGGGGAGGTAAATGATTGAGCTTGCCATTGCACCTGTTTGGCAATATTTTGGTTTCTAACCAAGCGAATCTGAAAAACCAGTGGATGTAACTGTTCCATGCTCAGTTAAAAAATCCTCTGTCAGCCCAGGTCTATGCCCTATCCCAAACTGCACTATTGAGCTAAAATGCAGTTGTTTATTAATTTAACACATCATTGTGCTGCATAATGCTTGGAATTTGAATTGTGCCATAAGCAAATTAGCCCATTTAAGAAAAATCAGTATAAAAAAGCCTGCACATAGCAATTGTCTGCACATAGTCTGTCCTAAATGCACACTTTTAAGCCCAGAGCCCATGAGGGATTTTGCCCTTCATATGCGCCCAATGATAACATCACCTACGTACAGTCTTGGAGGAGAACTGCAGGGCGTCATTTGGGACAGGGCTTTAGATAGCGAAGCTAAGATTAAACCATGTGCTTGTGCACAGGAAAGCATGATGCTTATCACGTAAAACACGAGGAAGAGTTGAACTGTTTATTTTCCAAAGGAAAAAGAAATTATACTATGTGAATATGAGGAAAGTAAAGCATATGATAATATAAGGCATTGCTGTCACCACGGCTGCTGTGTTAGTACTTATTGGAGTAATAACTGCTTCATATTCTTAATATCTATGCAATAGCATTGGTTTCCTCCACTGAAAACAATATTTTTCAATATATGTGACTAAT